GTACAGGGACCGAGTAAAGTATCATTATAACCCAACGTCTGTAGAACATCTCTACTTGGCTGTTTCATGGACACTGGTGTCATCTGAACGACACCACCCACTTGCCCAGGCCAGAAACCTGGGGGTCCTTCTTGACACGTGAAGACCCTCCATGTCTGGCATCAGGTCCCGTGGGGTCACTTTTTTACGACCCCTCACTGTCATGCCTGGTAGTGCCATCCTCAGTCTCGCCTGCACCACTGCCAGCGGTTTTGACCCGCCCCTTCCAGTGAGTTCACCCCACAGGCACAATGCATTTTCTAAATGCAAATATAGTCCCACTCTGTTTACAACAGTTGAGTGCATACCCACCGCCCTGAAGATAAACAAGGCCATACAGACCTGTTTCCTAATTCTAAACTTATTTCTCTTGGTCTTGAAAGGCCAAGCTCGTCCCCGTGGGTCTCCCTGCTGCGTGATCCTGTCTGTCAGGGGACTGAGGAAATGCCGGCTGCCCCCAGGCCGAGCCAGTGCTTACAACTCTGCAGGTGTTCACACGGGTGGCAACGTATTCGGCTGTTGAGAGGAAGACCCAATTCCAAGCTTCACTGAGGTTTCAAACGGGACCTCCTTGGGGCAGACTGACGCGTCCCTCCTTGGGGCAGAAGCAGCCTGGAGATCCCCACACCTCACAGTAGCACTGTGTGTGGGGCGCTCTTCTAGAAGGAGGCAGCAGAGTGAGGTGGCTGACAGCCTGGGGTTTTGGAATGTGCCCAAGCAAAAGGTGCTATTTTCTGTCAGCTGGCGCAGACTATTTAATCTCCTTGAGCCTCTGTGCCTTCATGTGTGAGGTAGGGCTGGTCCTCATCCCCTTCTCCTGGTCACGACACAGCCGTCTGATGTGTGAACCCAGGCCAGAAGGTCCCAGTGCCAGCCAGCAAGTAACAGTGCCACAGAGCCAACACCTCTAAATCACCGACTCAGGAGTCGCGGCACATCGTAACAATGCTGTCATTAAGAATATAGCGATTTAATGGGTCCAAGATGAAGGCTGTAAATTGTTGGTACACGAAGAAGATCCTTCTGAAAGCTGGTACGCGCCTGCTCGTACCCGCTCCGCCTCGTCCTCCTCTGCCCTTTGTCCTCTAATGGAAGGTAACCAGTCACTGGCCGATGGAAGCCACTTCAGGGTAACTGTGGTCACGTCAGTGGAGTCCCTCCATCCTCAGGTTTGCTGGGACAACTACCAAGCCTCCGCCCCTCTCCTGAGGCCCCTGCAGGGAAATGTGCCAAGGCGCCCTCCCCGGGGGGCAGCTTGGGTCCGGTCTGGGCCTGCACAGCTCCCCAGTGCTCTCCACCCTCCCAGGGCAGGGGCCCTCGCTCCCTTTCTTCTTTCCCATCTGCTGTGACTTCATAGCAGGTGAACAGGACAGAGAAGCCTCTCTACTGTTCCCTCCCCACACCCCACCCCACCCCACCGTCACCTGGGTCCTGCCTCTGGGAAGCCCTATCAGAAGAAGCCGACAGGCCAGTGTCTGCGCAAGGCTGGTCAGCTCCCCAGGCAGCTGGGAATGAGGCTGAGGCTGAGAGCCTGTCATACTGAGAGGCAAGACCTGGGTGGGCGACACCCTCCCTGTCCCCACAATACCGCCCGCCTCCTTGCCAGGAGGGTAGAAGGCCCTTCAGAACGTGCGTTCTGACCCCGTGTCCCAGTTTGGGAGGAGAGCCCGTGCAGGCTCTGCTGACCTCTCGGAGGGGGCAGGAGGCTGCTCGTGGAGTCATTCAAGAAGACGCCCAGGTGAAAGTATCCTGCCTGCTGAGGAAGGGAGAGGTCCACAAGGCCCAGTCAGAGCCTCGGATCCGAGCTGCAGGTCGGGGGTGGAGAACCAGTGGCTGGCGGTGTGGTGTCGTAGGGCTGCTGTCAGCCCCACACCTCCCAGAGGCCGTTGCCCCTCAAGCCCTAGAGGCTCCAGGCATTGGCTGGAGGGCTCAGAGAGAACGCACTTGCACCCTGTTCCCGGGAAGAGCTGTAATCAGGCCCCGGGCACCCACTCCTCAGAGCTGGCAGCCGGTGGGGCGGTGGGAGAGGCTTCCGGGGTTGGAGGCCTTGCTGAGGAGACAGCGGAGCCTTCAGGCTGAATGGGATGTCATATTGTAGGAGGCTTTCTTCAGGGTCTCCAGGAAGAACTGTTCATTCTCCAAGAAGTCACGGTCCTGAAAGGCAGAGCTGGCTGAGCGGTCCCCCTCTGGCTCCCTCCTGTACCCACTTCTGAGAACAGGGACACTGGCTTGCAGGACCGAGAGCAAGGTGGAGCCAGCCCTCACTCAGGGGCCCTCTCCCCACGCACTCCCTGGTTCGGGGATGCAGGGACATGGACGTGAGTGAGACAGACCAGGTCTTAGTCTGGCGAGGCCCCTCGTTAGCACATGGCTTCACCTCTCTAAGCCTGTTTATAGACCGGAGATAATAACATTACCTGCCCGTAGGGCTGGGGGAGGGCAGAGGCCCAAACTGCACATACAGCTTTCCCAGGGAGCCTGGCTTGCAGAAAGTGCTCCGTAAGTGATAGCTGCGATCTTTACGGTCGCAAGGTTACTGTGAGGTTCAACAGAGATGATGGATGCCAGTTATGTCCCACAGAACCGGGCCTGAAGTACGGGTCTCAGAGATGCTCACTAGGCAATCTGCACTATTATTCTGGGGTGCAGTGGGGGCTCCGCACCCCCCGGGGGCCAGGGCGTGCCCCTTCCTGCCTCCCACCAGGAGCCCTGGGCCCAGAGCCGGTGGGCGGCTCAGGAGACTTACCTGCTCAGCTGTGTGTTTCAGCAGCATGAGCCTGGCGTGGAGGTGCGAGGGGCCCAGGCCGGCGGGTGGCCGGCTGCACCCGAGGGGGGTGGGGGCAGGAGCCACAGTGGCTGAAAAGGTGAAGGAGGAAGTCAGGGGTGCAGCCCAGGTGGGAGAACAGAACAGCCGCGGCTGGTTTCCTGGGGGCCTTCTCACCACCGTGGGAGGCTGCAACCCGGACAACCTTCTGGGCACTTCCACCAACTCTCCAGAGCCTTTGAGAATGCTCATGGGATCTTACCTGGCAAGTCCAATTCTAGGAATTTACTCGAGGGAAATAAGGCAGAGGTGCAGAGATGTATGTACAAACATCTCCGCTGAGTGTTTATCTTAGTGACAAAAAACAGCTCACTAAAAAACATGGAGCATAATGGACAATTATGCTGAGTAAGAATTATGATCAGGGGCGCCTGGGTGGCTCAGTCGGTTATGCATCCGACTCTTGATTTCGACTCAGGTCATGATCTCACGGTTTGTGAAATCGAGTCCTGAGTTGGGCTCTACGCTGACAGTGCGGAGCTGGCTTGGGATTCTCTCCATCTCCCTCTCTGCTTCTCTCTCTTTCGTAATAAATACATAAATATTAAAAAGAGGAATTATGGTTAAATGTTTAATTACTGATAGGAAAACACGTTCTGTATGTACATTTCTGAATGAAAAAACTCAAGGCACAAAACATACGATGTCAAATTTTTTAAAAACATGCACAGTGTAGAACGCTACACCCCAAATGTTAAAAGTGGTTTTCTCTAGAGAGGGATGTTTTATAAAACAGCATTCCTCTCTCTTATGCCTTACTTTGTTTTCTCTAACGGACGTGCGTTACTTGTGTAACAAGGGACTAGTGAGCGGACTCCCACGGGCCCCCTAACCCCAGCGGAGGGAGGCTGATCCTGGCAGCCGGGCCTGACCCCCAGCAGCCCAACCCAGCCCAGGACAGCCCACTTCCGTCCTCGCCCTTTGGGAGCTACTCACCGCTCAGGCAGGACGCTGCCGGGCACTGGGTCCCAGGGAACAGCGCCGCGGGGCCGGAGGGCAGGTCCTGGCGGAGGCGGTCCAGCCGCAGCCTCTGCTGGGCTAGACTCAGGTGCTCCTGTCCCCGACCCCAGAGAGAAGGACGTGGCTGTGAGGGAGGGTGACCAGAGGGGGTCGTGGGGGCCGCCGGAGTGGGGAGGAGCCTTGCCTCGTGCACGTGCCGCTCCTGCTGCCGCAGCCGCTCCTGCTGTCGCTGCACCAGCTGCAGCCGCGCCTGCTGCTCCTGCTGCACCTGCCGGGCCTCACGCAGCGCCCGCTGCCCCTCCTCAAACTTCTCCGAGGCTACCTGCGGGGAGACAGGCAGGGTCAGCCGTGCCGGGGGGGGGCGGGGGGGGGGTGTCCTGGCTGTGCCCCCGGAGCTGAGCAGCTCAGCACCTGGCTCATGCTCTCCACCTCCTCGGCGCGGAGCCTGGTGCGCAGGGCAGCGGCGCTGACCCTCTCCTTCTCCAGCCGCAGCTCCTGCCGCTCCCGCTCCAGGGCCTCCCTCTCAGCCGCCAGCTGCTCCTCCTTGGTTCGGAGCTCACTGGCTCTGATCTTCAGCTCGGCTTGCTCCTGGAGACAGCAAAGCCTTTGCTGCCTTCTCCTCTCCAGAACCAACCGCCCCGGCCCACCCTGCATTGTTTCCTCGGCTCTGATCCACCCCGATTCTGGAGGAGGTGGCGGGGCAAGGGGTCTGAGAGGCTTGGGGTCAAGCCTCGGGGCCGCTCCTCACCGGGGGTCCAATTTCTCTGAACCCCAGCTTCCTCATTTCTAGAATATTTAAGTCATGGGGTGCCTGGCTGTCCGACTTTGGCTCAGGTCATGATCTCACAGTTCGTGAGTTTGAGCCCCGCGTCAGGCTCCATGCAGATCGCCTGGGGCCTGCTTCGGATTCTATGTGTCCCTCTCTCTTTCTGCCCCTTCCGTGTTCACATTCTCTCTCTCAAAAATAACCTTAAAAAAAAAAAAAATTTAGAGTATCTAACTCTTGGGAACGCAGTGAGGATTGAATAAGGGTATGTGTATAAAGCACCTAGGACCGTCAAAGGCAGTTTTTATCATATGATCATTGTTTTAATCCCGACGCTCTAGGCTCTTTGCTTAGTGAATACATCCTGACGGAGGAGCAGGGAGGCCGGGGGAAGGAAAGGGCAGGGCTGCCGAGCTCCCCGCTGTCCCAGAGGCCCTGGGCCCTACCTTGGCCAGGCTGATGAGGGTGCCCTCCCGCTGGGTGTCCACCTGCAGCGCCCTCTCTGCCTCACGCTCGGCCCGCTCCTTACTCAGCTTCTGCTGCGCGAAGAAGTCGGCCCACTCGGCCGCTAGGCGCCGCCGCTCCTCCCCACACCTGTGCATGACGGACTTCTGCTCCTCCAGCAAGGCGCTCTGGGATGAGGGGGCAAGGGCACGGGGTGAGGGTCCGTGGGCTGATGGCAGGGATCACAGCGGAGCCTGGCGTGGCTACACTCACCTTGGCCTTCTCCAGCTCCTCCCGCTCCATGGCGATCTGCTGGACCATGACCTTCCTCTGCTCCTCTAGAGCGCGCTGCGTGGACTCAGCTTTGCACTGCTCGGCATTCACCCGCCATCGCTCCTGGGGGTGGGTGAGGTCTGAGGACACATGCCCCCTTGACCCTCCACCTGCCCCCACGTCTGGCCCGACTGCGCCCCCGGCAGCAGTGCAAACGCACCTGCCCCTCCCACACTATGCCACAAACACCTCGTTTCTGGAGAGGTACAGAAGGAGGGGGGCTGAGCGGGGCTGCCAGGGCCCAGCCGCTCGGATGAACTGTACCAAGGCCTGGTGGCTCAGGAACTGCCACTGAGAAGCACCGGGCCGCTCCACAGGGCCCGAGAACAGCCACATCCCTGCTCCCTGAAACGCCAGCTACTCATGCTGCCTCAGGATGGGTGTGACACGGCATTCGCCGGGGCACCGGGGGCCACACAAGCACGAGCTCAGAAGCTTGACTGGGCCTGGCCCGAGGCAGGGGTTTAATCAAGTCACCAAATGGAGAACTGAATACATATGGTTCACGCTACTAGGGCACCTATGTCTACATGTTGATGAGTCTACAGGATGCCCAGGACATCCTCAGGGGCCATCTCTGACTAGTGGGGAATTTACATTTTCTCCTTTATTGCTAACTGGACTTTTTTTTTTTTTTTTTTTTTTTTTTAGTATTTATTTTTTGGGAGGGCACAAGTGGGGGAGGGGCAGAGAGAGAGGGACAGAAGATGTGAAGTGGGCTCTGTGCTGACAGGCTGACAGCAGTGAGCCCATGTGGGGCTCGAACTCACCAACTCCCAATGTGGGATCATGACCTGATGCTCAACCGACTGCCACCCAGGTGCCCCTGCTAACTGGACTTTTAATTTTTCAGTGTAACGTTCTCATGTTATAAGCTGGTACGAGATACACAGGAGTTTGAAAACGCATCTGTTATGGCTCAGGAGGCACAGGCTTCAGTGGCCAGACAACCGTGACAGACCCAGGCGAGGTGGGCAGGCAGGGAGGCACTGCTGACACCCTGGGGTGCTGGGGACGCAGGCCCTGCCGGCGGGAGGGTGGCCCACCTGCTCCAGCAGCCGGCTCTGCTCCGTCAGGCGCGCCTCCGTCTTCCCCATGACCTCCTGGAGCCGGCTCCGCTCTTCCTCCATGTCCCGCTGCTGCCGGCCCAGTCTCTCCTGCAGCGCTGGGGGGCCGCAGGGGGCTTAGCGCCCGCCCGCCGGCCCGGCAAGATGGGGGGGGGCCAGGAGGGGGGCCCCGCGGCCCACCCGGTACCTCGGAGCTGCTCGTCACGCTGCCGGAGCCCCAGCTCCCGCTCCTGGGCCGTGCTGAGGTGCGAGGCCTCCACGCGAGAGGACAGCTCGTGCAGGCTGCTGGAGAACTTCTCCATCTGCTCGATGACGCCATTCAGGGACCTGGGGGAGCACCGGGTCAGCTGGGCGCGGAGCCCCAGCACTGCCCCTCGGCTGGGCCGGGCCCAGACGGCGCTCATACCGCGTGTGGGAGGTGGCGCTGGTGACGGCGTCAATCTCCCGGTCCTTCAGCAGCTTCAGCCGCTGCAGCTGCTCCTCGTGGTCCTTGCGCATCTCCAGGATGGAGGCCCTGAGGGGACCGTGGGGGGCGGCGCAGTGAGCACAGGGCAGCTTTGCGAGTGAGGGGGCTCGGCCATCAGTGCTCCTGGGCTCTCCTCCTCCTCTGCTCCTCCAGGCGCTGCCTCTGCTTCCCTGGCTCCTCATCCTTATCTGTCCTGGGACCTCAATGCCACATCTACTCTAACGGGGAGATTCCTTCTGTTATTCAGCAAAGGACACTTTCCACAGAAAAAAAGACAGGTGCGTGCACAGCCTCTTCTTGTCTGGCCAATCTGAGATGTGTTAGAAGGCCTGCTCTGCCTGCATTGACTGGCTCCCCTAACGGACCCCTTCTTAGTTTGCTCTCATTGAGATCGGACATCTCATCAGCGGGATGGACACGGCAGGCACAATGCTACAAACCCCTTCTAGACTCGAGAACTCTGGCAGGTGAGGGGCTTGGCCTGTGCTGAGTTAGGGCCTCAGGTTCTCGCTGCTGCCAGGACTTACCTAAACAGTCAGGGACCCCCCAGGCCTGCAGGGGCACCTGCCCCATTGCTGTAGGGGTGGTGGGCCCTCCCCTGAGAAGGGGCGATGGCTCACTGTGTGTGGCCTTGGTTCTCACATGGAAAAGAAAGGGTCAAGCCTGAGCTGCTATGCCTCTGCCAGGGGTCTCCACTTCCTCCGGCCGTCCTGGAAGCCGGCTCTCTCCCCGCCTGCCTGCCTGCCCGCCCCAGGTCTCTCCTTTACCGCTGCCCCTCACCGCTGTCTCTCACCGCTGCCCCTCATCGCTGTCCCTCATCGCTGTCCCTCACCGCTGCAGCTCCCGGAGCCGCTCCATCTCCTGGTCCTTCTCTTGTGCGGCGGCCGCCAAACGCCGCTGGTGCTGGGCCGTGAGCTCGGCCCGGGCCTGCTCGGCTTCCTGGCACTGCGACAGATACCGGGCCGACAGCTCCTCGTGTTCCCTCCGCAGCCGCTCTTCCCGTTGCTGGTACGATGTTTCTAGCATCTTTACATGGCTTCTGCCAACAAAGCATGCAGCTGTGGGGCTTAGAGGGCGAGGGCAGATGCCCAAGACCTCTCTGAGTACATCAGCTCAGGCAGGCCTCGAGCCTCGGGACGCCCAGGTGGGAGGAGCATGGGTACCTGTGAGCACTCTCGAGGAGCTCCAGGTCTGCCTGGTGTCGCTGCTGCAAGCTCTCCAACAGCAGCTGGTGCTGGGTCCGCTCCAGCTCCAGCTTCCGCACCTGGAGATGGCGGGAGGGAGGGCGGTGGGCTCTCTGGGACACCGGGGGGAGCCTTCCAGCCCTCAGAGGGACACCCTTCCGCCCCAGCTTCGCCCCCCAGCCCGTGGCCCCTCCGCCCTTCACCTGGGCCTCCAGCTCTGCCAGCCGGGCCTGACTCTGCAGAAGGTCAGCCTGGAGCCCGGCAGTGCCACTCTGCAGCTGCACCTGTGCAGCCAGGAGCTGCCTCTGGCATTCTGTGCCCGGTACCAGGCTCCGTGCCGGGGACTCTGGCAACAGGGACTGTAGGAGAGGGCGGGAGATGTTTCTGGGGTTAGGCAGGGGACAGGGACTCAGGTGAGCCCAGCTACCTCTGGCTCTCAGCTTGCTAGGCCTTCCTGGCCCCTGTGCCTGATCTGTGGCTGCAGACGGGGACGAAGACATGGCACCAAAAGGCCAAGGGCGAGGCCTTGGAGTCATGCAGTCACTGCACCTCCCCACTGGGTCTGGTTAGAACGGGTCTCCCCCCTCCCTCCGAACAACATCCTCCCAGCAGATGTTCCAGATCCCTAGACAGCCGGGAGAGCCCCGGCAGCATCTCAGCTGTGACAAAAGCTCCCGGCCCTGGCACCTTCCGTGGGCCCAAAGTCTAAATGTTGGCTGCTACCCTGCTTCCTGCGGGTGGCCCACTACCCACCATCTCCAAAGGTGCTTCTGGGTTACTGGGGGAAATGTCTCTGTGGCCTCCTCACAGCTGGGCTCAGAGGTGGCTGGGAAACAGGTGGCGCGGCAGCAGGACGATGGCAGGTATGGAGGCGGCTTTCGAGACGGAACGACAGGATGCCTGCCGCCCTGCTTTCTGACCGGAGCATTCCCAGCTGCCCCTGCCTGGGTGCCATCTCTAATTCCCTCCCTGAGCCGGAAAATTAGTGCCCAACTCTGCCTGAGAGCGGCAAGGCTAGAAGCTGAGGAAAGTGCTGACGGTAGGGGGGCGGGGGGTGCTGGTGAGCCGTCCAACGTCCTGACACATGACTCCTGACAGGCTGCTGTGGCCCCTGCCCCGCGGGCCTGAGGCCTATTCCTGTTTGTCCGCCCTCCCTACCTGGACAGGCACAGAAGGCCCTGTGGTCTCCTGGGAGCTGGGGAAGCAGGCTGCAGGCTCTGAAAATCAACAGCGGAGAAATGAGCAGGAGGCCCAGAGAGACCGGAGGTCTTGCATGTGCATTTGGGAGTCCAGCCCTACTTGTCTCCCGGGCCCCGAAAGAAGCGCCAAGTGCCTCTTCCGCTTCCAGAGGTAAAGCACCACACAGAGGAGAAAACAAACCGGCGCTGGAGAGGTCTCCACGGGCTGTTCCCCTCTGGGGGTCACCGACACGGAGGGCCAAGGCAGCCTGGTTCCAAGTCACGGGGGACCTGAGGACACAAGAGATTTGGGGGGGGGTCAGTGGTGGCAAGATGAACAGCCTGCTGTGTAGGACGCAGAGAGGTACGAAGAGGGTTGGCGTGGGCAGTAAAGGAGAACATCAGGTGCAGACAGTTGACTGGAAAGGCCTGGTGGCTGGCAGTTTACTAAGAGTCAGTCTTGGTTGGGCAGAGGAGATGGGGACCTGGCTCTGAGTCCCCTTAGTCAGCGGGCCTGATATAAGGTATTAAATGCCATATGCCAAGCTGACCAACAGCCCAGCACGGCTGCCCATCATATCTGAAGAAAGGGGCCCGTGCAGGCCCGACCCAGCCTCTCCCCCACCCTCAGTTCCCCGCAGACACACCCTGAGGTGGTGGGTCCTGCCGGTGGCTTATGTGCCGCTGTTCCTGAGGACCCTCCAGCAGTCGCTTGCTTGACCCCTTGAGTGCTGGCAACACACTGGCTGAGGAAGCAAATGTTAAAGCAAAGGTGGCAGAAGGTTCAGGTTAGACTGGACGTGGCCGGGCGGGGACACGGCCTGAGCATGAAGCGGTTAGCCATTCCCTGAGCCCCAGTCTGAGCCCTTGGCCTTCTAGTAACCCTTTTTTCTTTCTTCAATTTGTTGAAGAAGAGACAAAGAAGAGACAAAGCATGAGAGGGGGAGGAGCAGACAAAGAGGGAGACACAGAATCTGAAGCAGGCTCCAAGCTGTCAGCATGGACCCCGATGAGGGGCTCGAACCCACAAACCATGAGATCATGACCTGAGCTGAAGGTGGACGCTTAACCGACTGAGCCACCCAGGCGCCCCGCCCCTCCAGTACCCCTTCTTGGCCCCAGGGCCTGCTAGGGCACAGTGAATGGCACTGACCATGTGTTGACAGTGCAAGTAGTGACAACCGAGGTGTTACAGACACCAGAGTTAAGTTCGAGTTCAAGCTCAAGACCTTTTTCTGGCCCATGTAGGTCTGCTGACTTAGACTGGGGCTCTGCTCACTCTCCTGCCAGGTTCAGCTCCCTTTGGGCTCCTCTCTTCTCTTGTCCGTGGTTCCCATCCACTTTGGCTCTCAGGGTCAGGGGAAAGCTTTCCTCTTGGTTTCAGATGGAGGTCAAAGCCACCCTCCTCGTTCACACCAACCCCAGGGTTGGGTTATGCTCCTGGCCTGTCACGCAACTGCCCACTTCCCCTCTTCCTTGCTCTGGCCACACAGCATCTTGCTACTTCCTCTGCATGATCCCGGTCTTGCTGGTCCCTTTTACCCTCCTGCCCTCGGAGGTCGGTTGCTATCCTGCCCCCACAGACCTCCACTCAGTGGGTTTCCTCAGGAGTTGCCCCTCAGCCACTGTCTTCTCTCACACTCCCCAAAAGCACCAGCACACGTCACGTATTTTAGCTCGGGGCAGCAGAGGCGCCAATAAATTTAGACACTGGGTTTTTTTGGGAGCAGGGCCCTTACTCAGAGGCACCAGGATGGCTGTGCTTTCGTCACATCAGGGCGCCCTCTTTCCCTGCCTGATCAAGTCAGCCCTTGTCCACACGGCAGTCAGGGTGCGTCAACGACCTCCTGGTCCCCTCATGTCTGCACCTGGGCAAGA